CATCCAGCTCACCAAGATGGACTGCGTACTGAAGCCACAGACGAGTAGGATTCAACGAATGCATGTCAGGAAGCATAGGGATGAGAATCTTACAGTCCCTCATCACGTCCTGAACAGACCAAATACACATCACCATACATTTCTGCAAGAAACCTGTTTGCTTTTTAAGACTGAGCACTCTGCTCTTCCAGAGCTCACTAGCTGAATAAGGTGCAAGGGTTGGGATACACCATATCAAATAGTAAAGACTGCCATTCCTACATCCACAAATCAGTAGGGTAGGCCAGCTTGTGTAATTTCACTGTAGCATTTCTCTGACGCACTGCAAGGCAATAATAAATTACTTCAATCCATCAAACAACAGCTCTGCTGCTGAGAAACACTGTCTGTGGGCAGCAACCATCTCAACACACACAAGAGCATTTCACTCATACCGTTTGTAAAATCAATTACAACAACCAACAAAAGTTGCCTTATTCAATCCTGTGCGCTCTCAACAGCATCCTTAAACTACTGGAGCCACAGAACGGATTTTAAGAAGTGCATTACAACAGCTGCCTCTGATTCCTTCACTCTCCCCCACACAAAGGGGGATTCGCATGCATTCCTCCCAAAGCTCCAGGCAGTGAGATGTTGTTGTGACAGTAGGCATGCCCACAGCAAAGGTCTGTTTAAAAACAGTTCATCAGCAGCAATCCTCACACAAAACTAGAGGTTCCGCTGTCTATCGCAAACGGATCGCTTGTAAACTCTATTCAACCCACAGAGACAGGACAAGAAACAGCAGTTTCCAAGCCTTACTCATACATGTGAAATTAAAAAGGAATTAAGAATATCTCTTCAACTTCATTCTGATACAGCATTAGAGAGCTCCATATTAGAAGTTTCTTAAGAGCAGCATCTTTTATCATTCAAAGTTAAGTAATGCTGCTTAGTTCGTACCCATAGATCTTATTTCTCCTCTTGTTTTTTACAGCCATTCTCCTCTTCTTCCCCTCCAGAAGTGACTATAATTATTCTATAAAAATAGAGAGCATATGGAATGCTTTCCTCCAAGCAACAGAACACAGCTCCATAAAAGCAATGAACATTAACAGTTTATTAGAGGTGGTTTCCCTTCCCCACCATCTACTCAGAATGGCTGTGAATTTCTATTCAAGTTGTACCATGTGAGGGTACAAAGCAGCTGTGAAAGGATCTGCCTGCACTGCATAGGCTTTATTGTTCATTAGCTCAAGTACACACACAGTACATCAGAACTGGCTTTTTTTTTTCCATTTGGGAAGTGATGATTTGTTGTGAGGACGTCCTTTGATATAAAGCAAGCACTAAGATTGTCATTTGAGTTAACCTCTACACTCCATTGCATGAAGCCACTTGACTACGGTGCTCCTGACTACTTGTTTCTGTTAGTTAAAAAGAAAGTGTGACATTTTCTTTAAGTATAACCACACACATTAGATTACTCAGATCAGTGACATTAAGGTGTTAGCTGTTCCCTATCATAGCAGCCACGTGCTTCCAATTTCATCTTCAGATTCCGTCATCTCCCAAGACATCACAAAACCACAGAATTCACTCCCTTTAACAACCTCTTTTTAGTCCTAAGTCCTGGGGACAACAGGAAGAATAAATCATTTAGAATTCATACTTGAGGTCAAAAACTTTATCCACGGTCTAGCTTTAATAACTGAATTAACCGAATGCATCTGGAGTCAGGGCACACAGAACACGCAGCCTTGCACAACCAACAAGTCATTTTCCTAATGGTTGATGGACGACTACCGTCACGATTGACCCATCTGCAATTAAGGCAACGTTTACCAGCTCCTTGAAACAGACACGCTCCTCTTCAGTTCTTTACGCCCCACTCACATGCTCTTTTCCTGCACCCAGGTCCTGTAAGAACTATACCGTTCCACTCAAAGGAACTGCTGGCTGCAAGCAATAGAAGGCATGGAATGGAGCACGTGGGTAGGAAAAGGTTAGAGCTAACAGCTTCAGGTACCTAAAAAATCCTAGTCTCCACTTTCTCCCCCTCTGGGGATTTCTAGGAAAGGGTACCCCAAACTAACTTCCCATAGCAATCACCTCATACCTTCTTAGATAGACAGCAGCAGCAGAATGAGCTAGAGGTGGCAAAGCAGAACACTGGGCCCTTGCATCCTCTGCCTTCCCTGTGCTGAGATCCCCCAGGAAGGAGGCAGAAAGGAAAGCAAAGCAGCAGCAATGCAAGTTTCATGCCAGCCAAGGGCTCTGCTTAGCATAGGAAAGGCAGCAAGGCCTGCCCCACTCCTCTGGAACCCTGTGCCAGCTAGATATCCTGCAGAGGTCAGCCTTAAAGCTGGCCCAGCCACTTGCAGTAGGACAACATTGTGATGGGACCACTACACAATGAGCACAATATAAAGACAGCACGTATCACTAGCATAAGAAAGGCTTCCTTTGCCATGGTGAATTGAGAGTTGTTACAATAGTCAGAACGTTTAACTACAGCAGGCAAAAAGAGGCACTTGTTTCTCCCATGACTTCCAGCCACTTGGACTGGTTCTCTCACAGTGATATTCACTCCTCCAAAGACTGCACTTTAGCTGTCAGTTAAGATTATGGTGAAAGACTGTGATGATCAACTTATACTGAAAATAAATGCAGGTTCTCATAGGAAAATGAGAAGGACACAAGATCTAACATGTCATCTAAAAGTAACCTAAAATAAATAAGTAATCCATCACATTGTCTAGAGGAAACAGCATAACAGCCCTTATCAGAGGAAATGAAGAAATAAAAGGGTTTCTTCTATCCTTTGAGCAGCACTCCAACGTAGCACAGTTTGGGGGTTTCCAAGCACAAGCATGGGGAACCAAACATATGCAGAAGAACTAATACGTCACCTGTCCTTTGGAAACAAGCTGCATGATGCACTTTTGAACATAAAAACTCCTCTGCTCTTCTATATCACTCTCACAAAAGCCCACAAGTCAATGGAAGATGGCAGAACCAAACTGCATAACTAAAGAAGAACTAAGTGGAAAAATGGGAGAAATCTAAGTCCATGTGACAAGGGTGAAACTAAAATAATTAATCACTGAAGTCTGCAGGTCTAGGGATACTCCATAATACATCCATTTTTTATTTACACTCCTGCTTGCTCTCTTAATCACAAGTATCGCTTTTGCCAGTGCAGTTTTGCCCATTTTCAGCCCAAACAAAATGTACCACGTTCACGAACAAAATACAGGATTTCACCATTTCATCACATTTACAGTGCACTAACGTGCCCTAAGATAAATACAGTAAACTTGAAAGAAACAGAAAAAAAAACCCCCATAAGCTCAAAGCAACATTCAAGGGTCCTTCTCCCCTCCTACTTCTGAACCAAGGAAGAAATGCTTTGCCTGAGCAAGGTAAAATACCTGCATTAGCATCCACCAATCTGACCATTTGTTTTCCTACCTGCATAGTAGATTCAGAAGCACTAAGATATACACAACATAAAATACCACATAAATATTGCCTGCTAGCCCCTGGCTTAAGCCTGACACCTTGTGAGACACTTCCTTTTTAGTGCTGAGGCCCCAGGATCCAATCACTTACTGTGATCAACAGCAGTCATTCCCTTGCTTCAGAGAGTATTTGGCAGTACCCTCAATGACTTAACTGCCAACAGAACATTCCTGATACAAATATAAGCTTCTGAGTTGCACCACTTGAATTCAACTGGGAGCAAGATCTGAGCTACTTTGGGGCAAACAGAGGAAGACAGAGAGAGCAGACTGGAGCACTGAGACTTCAACTGCTGCCAAAATGTCATCTTCCCAGCACAAAGCCCTCGACATTCCTACAAAAAACTCACTAAGAACCCCATTGATGAAATATATGCTATTTTAAAATTGATTACCAAGGCAATGAACATCAGCATGGCGTTCATTCTCTGTGGCCTCGTACGCCCTTCAAAATTAGGCAAACAATCATAATACAATCTTCCTTTGTGCTGCGAGTTAAAATTGTAGCTGTTTTAAACAGTTTGCTGGTTTTCTCTAACTCACACTCAGTGAGCATCCCTGAAAATGAATCCCACAGGGAAGTGCTTCATACAAGGTATCTCAAAGCAGAACAATTCCAAAGAATACTGCAATGTGAAAAATGTTAAGCCCCCTTCCTCTAAGAACTTAGTCAGAACTGACACCCATTTAATTGCAAAGCTACACCACCTGATAGCATTTATACCGTTGCCCAAGCCTAAACACACACTCCCTCAACAGCAAGAGAATTGGGACCTTCACATTAGTACCTAACTTCAGAATCCTCTCTTAAAATAAATTAGCAATGAAGCTGATTGAAAGGATACATTTCTTATCTAATCCTAGCTCATGACAGTAACCCCAAAGCCTTGAAGTCATACTAACCAGTTTGAATCTTAATCAAGAGCAATGAAGGACTTACAAAGGAATGTGAAGCTTAACAGCAATGCTTTGGCATTCCCCTGCATTAACTTGTTTTGGTCATCTTTACTAAAAAAGAAAATTGCTGAAAGGCTACCATGTTTTGGATTTGTTTTCTTGGTACAGAAAATGAAAAAGATCAAAGACGACTTCTATGAATTGAGGGAAAAGTTCAGTTTTTCCAAAGCATTTACTTTCCCCCCCATAGGAAAGTATGGAAGAAAAAGCTTCAATTTTTCTTATGCTCTGCCTTAAAAAAAAAAAAAAAAAAAAAAAACATGAAATTGTACCAACAAGACATTTTAGTTTAACCAGAGGTTTCCACCAAGTTTACTTCCAGTAAAATTTCATCAAGAAGTGTATTTCTGTAGAAAATTTCATGAAATTAACTGGCTTTGAAACAGTAAGTAAACTTGGGCATTTGGAGGCATACCTTGCTTAAGAACAAGTTACATTCTCCCCATAGTCTGCATTTCTGGACAAACTGGATAGTATGACATTCCTGCGGTAAGTAGGGAAGACCCTGGTGTACAAAGATGGAGAAGTGGTGGATGTTACCTAGCATGTTGTGGTAAAGTGGACTGTCGTGTCCATGGATAGTAAATGCAGTCATGACTAGCTGGACCTCTACACCTGCAGGCAATTACAGAACAAAAGACGTCATTTGCCATTCACAAGGACATGCACACGCATGCGCCCTTGTCCACACGTGGAGGATGGAAGACACACAGGGAACGACCACTCAGCAAGTACCTATCCATCAGGCCAACGCAGTCCTCGATATGCGGACCTATGCACCTGCAGCAAATCCAAATTGAGAACAAGAAGAGAAAGAGAGAAAATGGTTATTTGCAGATCCAAGAAGCAGAAATCCCCTCTTTGTGACACACTTTTGATTACAATACTAAAGAGAGACTCGAGTCACCACAAAATTATACTGTGACAAAAACAAGCCTGTCAAGGGAACAATAATAGCAACATAACCAGCATTCCAAAGTTGGACCATTTGTGGCTCACACAGTATTTAAAGCAGGTTTCACCTGCATGTGTGGGAGGCCTGAGAACAGAGTTGCATTGCCTGGATGTTTTCTTGGAATAATCCAACTGGTGATTACTGAACAGAAGCTGTTCATTTGCAACACGTGAGACCTGCAGAAGCACAATGCATAAGTCCCTCCTCCCCACTTCCTGTAATTGATGCAATTGTTCCTTCTGTTTCAAGTGCCTGCCCAGGAAATGAGTTTTGGAAGCTGACTGTACTCTTAGCAAGGAAACTCAAGGATGAGATTCCCATTAAAAAAAAATTTGAGTAAAATGCTGTCTGCTGATACAGGCACTTTGTCCTGCTATCTGTAGATGCTGCCAGAAGACTTCCACTGCAAATTCAGCAGGTGCTCAAAGGTGAAGGAAATACAGAGAGTCACTTTATGCAGCATCACTCAAGCACAGCCACGGGGAAAGAGCCTCGGTGTTTCCTTACCCTCACAAGGAACACTAATCAAAGTAGCAAGCTGAGTTACCTGCATTCAAATAAAAAGTTGCTTACCCCTTTTACACAAGGGTCCAGATGATCAGAGACAGACAGATGTAGGTGAACTTTCAGAGATTAAGACAACCTGACGTGCCTCAGTGCTAAATGCCCAGCAAGTCCCTCCTCATCCACAGCAAGCAGCTCTCAATTTCTGAAGAAATTAAGCCACTTACTTCAAATGTTTAACAATACCTGCAGTGAACTTTCTCTCCTGTACACCTGAAATTACATTTTCCAAAACAGCTGTGATGTGGAAACAAAGATTTTCACTATTTCTTCAATAGTGTTCTCCTTCAATAGATGCAAAGACAAAAGCAGATTCATTACACATCCAATTGGACAGAACACGCATGAAGCGAAAAGGATTGATTTAAATACAGTCCAAGAACTCAGATAGAACTATTAACAGGTATTTCTTGAAATTCCTACTGTCCTGGGCTTCTCAAGTCTGAATTTTACCCAATCTTCAGCCAAACCCAACACTGTTCTTTTCAGGGTATCCTCAGCAGTTTGCTGAAGACCAGTGCAGTAAGTAAAGGTCTGAACAATTTTTGTTGAGCCGCCTTCATCTTCTAGCATGTCAAGAGAAGCAAAGTTCATATTCCTGCTATAGATAAGGGTCCTCTTGAAACTGGAGTTTTGAGAGCCCATTGCTAGTTCAGATAACTGGCAAACAGGAAGAGCCTATTGTCTTGCAGTCATTCCATAACTGCACATTTGTTCTCTAGAAGTCTGAGAGAGAAGAAGAGATGATCCAAGAAAAGGTACTTGGACCTACCCCACTTCAAACTGAAGTACTACTGCCTTCTGTTTAAAAATCAATAATCATCTTCAGTGGGTTTCCCAGCCTCAAACAGAAAACTGTCTAGGTACATTTTATGCTGTTCAACATGACTGCGAGTACTTACACACTCTTTGGTTGTCCTGATTGACACGCAATAAATACTGTGTGAGTAACAGCAATAGACACTACTATTAACAAGTTGTTTTTCACCATTAAGTCATCAATTATTTTTTCTCTGACAATAGTTTCTTTCCTTTCAGGCTTTTTTTTTTTGACACAAGTACAAGCATAACACAACCATACACAGCAGTGGCACTTAATTCACCCCCAGGATTCCTTCTCCTGCTTGGAGTCCAGAGGAAGAACTACTACGTTCTTTCTGTAAGAGGAACTGGGTAATATCAACACAATCATACGTATCAATTTATTAACAGCATTCAGTCATTACAACACAGCTTATACAGAAAACTATACATAGAGCTTTCCACCTTATCTTTAAAAAGAACTGTTTTCTGAAAGATAATTAGTTAGAACAGTTTTGAAAACAGAAGATCTTTGTTTCCCCGAAATAATCCATTCCCCCCCCCCCCCAACTTCCACAAATTTTATTTCATATCAACTTCCCTTGAGATCAAAAAGTGGGGCCTTAACTTCTCACAGATTTCAAGCAGCAAAGCCATTTCCAATCAGATGAATTCCCCAAGAACTTTGTTGCTGAAAACAAAACTGATTATGAGATAGCATAAACAGATTAACCCTGGACAAAAGAAAACATTTGTTACACCAAAAGCAGATTCACTTAACTGTTACTCTGGATGAAGCCAAATGAATCAAAATTTATATAGGTAACAGTGTGTGTGTTGATGGCAAGAAAGTTGATCTCCCTGCTAGGGGCAGGGAGAAATTTTTCCGTCAGCAAAGCAGTGCTGGTCTCCAATTATTTAGCATTTGTTGCAACCGAATTTCCACTACGATGCCAACAAGAATTCAAAATGCCTTCAGAGGCAAGGCAGTCCTTGGGCCTTCAAATCCATCCTACCACAACTGGTCAGCTTCGAGGGATAATGAAATTTTGGATAAGGAAGAGCAATACGTTTCCTTCAAAAACAAAAGTAGTAAGAAAATGCTTGTGATGAGAACAGGTCCTCTTTGTGCCTTGCTTAGGGAGGAAGCAGACTGTCAGATGCTGTTATGTAATTACTATTTCATTTCTGCAAAAGCATTCCATTTTAGCTAGCTTGGCAAGAAAAAGTGCCAAATGTTTTCTGACTCCCTTGAATTAAATGGGATCGCTGTCCCACGTGCCTCAGACCTGCTTCAGGTTGGCCTCAAGTAGCTGATGTTTATCATGAGGATGCAAAGTGAAAAGCACAGTTGCCGCATCCAAGCAAGTCACTTCTTGATTCCTCTCTTGGTGAACATAACATCATTAACAGGACTGGGTAATAACACACCTATCTAGAGGAGCAGTCATGTTTAAATAAGGGAAGAGAACAGCACTATGAAATCTCACACTCAAGCGAGCAATCACCTGCAAGTACCAGGACAAAATTAAGGCAGAAGGCTCACAGAACTACTTTCCCCTGTGACAGGAATGGCTGGAGAAGATAAAAACAAGACTAAGAGAACTAAAAGCCTATTTTAGCAAGGATCCTGAATCAAAGAGCTGTACTGAAGGAACAGAATAACACCAAGACAGGAATAGTGCTCTGCAACAGCTCAAGACTCTTCACTAGTACCTAAGCTCCACCTCTATGGCACTGGTTCTATTCCAGCAACTGATCTGACAGCAGAGCCAGATGAAGTAGAGGGTTGGGTTTTCTGTACCACTCAGCTGTGAGTCAAGTATCAAGATGTGCTCTCTCCGGAAGTGATGTCATTAGGAACGCTGATTGAGGGGAACTTCAGTATTAATTTTGGAAGGAAAGGTATGAAACTAGAGTATTCCGCATTAAGGGAGGAGAGAATGAAAGAGACCGATTCCCTTCTTACTGGAAATACTCAGCCCCAAGAGTGTTGGCAAGATAAAAAAAAAAAAAAGCCATAAACCCCAAACATCTGGGACACTCATTAACAGATGAACATACCATCATTAAAGGAAGCCTTCAGAAACACTAGAAAATGACATCTATTTTTATCTAGATTGGGTTTGTGCATGTTGTTTTCATGAGAGGTGATAAAAACGCCTATGAACGGACATTAATCTCACAACAACAGGATGAGGATTTCTGTGAGCAATAGTATTTAACTCATGGCAAAGGTCTAGCTCCTCATAAGAGAGACAGCTTTGTGGGAGAAGTCACTGGCTCTATAATAGTGGTACTTCATCAGTTCCCTGGCGATTGGCAAACAACACTTGATGAGGCATTCTTTCACTTTTAACCTGAGCAAGACATTTGCAGAAAGAAAAGGGAGAAAGTTCAAGGGATAAATTCTAAGGTAACTCAGCATAAAGGAATCCCGTGTCAGCAAGGGTTGCCAACAAATGCTGGCAAGTAGTTACAGCTGCCTAATGCCCTTCCTATTTGTTTAGGAACTACAACATCAGATTGCCACCAGGAGGTGGTACCCAGGGAGACAGTACCAACCAACCATCTGGAAAGTACTGATGCATCTAAAGAAGTGATGAGGAATGGAAAATTATTTGTTCCTTTCCTATTTTGAAGAAGTACAGTTGTTTTATTAAGATCAGTAACATTTAAATCTCCCCAGAATAGAAGACTGTCCAGAAAGGAAGGTCACATCCCACTCTTCTGAGAGGTCAGAATAGCTACAAGGTGCCTCTTCATTGTTATCTTTTGACACTAAGTCAACCATCCACACCTGGGTTTGTCAGACTCCAAACTAGCACATCCACCATTCTCTTAAAGCCAGAAACAGAGCTCCTGAAGCAAGCTCATCTTGGCATACTGTCATCTTAGTTTTCCGATTGCAAAATTGAGGGTCTGTAGGAAAGACCTATCTGTAACAGATCCCAGCTGTGTCTGAGATCTTACCCTCATTTCTCCATTGACTCTATTATAATTACATATGCAAAACCAGGAAAAAGTCTCATTTTGAATGGTAACAGCTGTTGACATCAAGATCACATCGAATAATTTACCTGTTTAATTTTAGCTGCTAAACAGAAAGGGCCTCTTGTGGAAGATTATTTCACTGGCTGAAGTTTTCTCTTTCTCCCCTCGCTGTCTTTTCCTTTCTACGTATCCTGGACAGCACTAACCTCATCAAGAAAACATTTCTAATCCACGTGGACAAAGCAGGACAAGAGCTGAGTAGTTGATCACTGTTATTTGTTGCAGATTCTTAATTTTGGCTCAGACGCTCAGTCTATGTTTTTTCACACATAACAAGTGATTGATTGGGAATAATACTAAGACAGGACTTGAGAAACGAATCCTCAAATTCAGACTCCTGCAGAACATGGCTCCTGGTGAATCCTTTGCATCAGACCCTCTGTGTCTCATCAAAGTGCTACAGGGTTACCTCAGCAATACCAAGGACCAAAGAGGACCAATTCCATCAGTAAGTGAAATAAAGTCATTGTACAGGCCTAGACACACAAATGTAAAAGGCAGCATTTGTTACAAACCAGTGCTAGCGGGAAGGCTGTGGAAAGATCTTCGGAGTGGTCTTCATAAAAAAGTGTAGTATTCTTCTTTTCTGATAAGCTGCTGGATGTTAATGGAAGAAACTTGAGTGTCGTGAGAAACTGAAAATAAAGTTGCATTACACTGCTGCACACACTTGGATTTCAGGAGCAGAACAAGTACTTTGCCAAGCCAAAACTTCACCTACATTCTAACAGGTAACAAAACTTCACTAGGATGGTTCAGATCACAGAACTTACCCTTGGGTGCAATTTGGATGGCACGGATGGCACTCGCGATCCTCATCAGCATACTTGAAAATGAAACTGTTGGCCCCCTGTAAGCCATCGGGGCATTTCTCCACACAGTTCGGACCATCCTTAAAATGGAAACACTTTGTGCAGTGGTCAGGCCCCTGGTGAAAGGGGAGAAACAGTGCATTCAAGTTACTTCGTATTTCCCTTCTGCACTGGAATTGCAGGTCCTAGCATGACAGCACATACAGCAGTAACTGCAGTGGTGTTTCTTTGCTAGCAAAGAACAAATCACCCACATGGTTCCAGCCACTGTTGAGGAATAGCACATGTATATCTTGGTAGTTCTGACCACAAACTTCGCTTGTACAACCTAAGATCAATTCCTAGTTTCTAAACAGGTTTCTCCACACTACCAGCATGATTAACACAACAGACTTCACGTCTGTTTTAAGCCTACATACACACAAACAAAACAAAGATGTACAGTGATTCACTACCTCCACAATCCACATTATATCCCATACTGCCTTCTCCCTTTGGTTATCCTTCAGTGTTTCTGTGACAAGGTCTTCTTGATACATACACAACTTTTTAACAGTCCAGACTGTCACCTAAGGCTCCTGAACAACGTAAGCAAAATTAAGCCAGTGGAGCCGACCAAATACCTTGTTCTGCTTGGGCACTGGTCTACAACTTCATATCCATGAATCATCCTTTAAGTCCAAATTTAACTCGTGGGCTGAAATTTGCAGTATTAGCTTCCTGCTTTGTGACAGCATTGCAGAAAGCAGAGTGGTACAGCAAAAACAACTATGAGAATGTTGAGCAGAGTAACGTATTTTCTTTACAGTCATTAGGTTACATGAGAGAACCAAGGAAACAAGGTTAAATTTTCACAGTAACAAAGAACCTGAAATACAACTCCTTGCATCCAAGACGCTTTTAACCTTGGCAATATACAAACAACCAAAACAAGGAACTATTTTTATCCAACAAAAGGACAATAATCTTTGAAACAAGACTCACTGCTCATATAAAATAATTCAGGCATTATATAGATGACAGTTACAGTCAGCATTCAGTTTTAGGATGTGCATAAAGAATGCTGCATCAGAACAGGCCAGCCTACAAAGAAAAGATGACATTGCTCAAGCTTTCTGAAAAACCAAGACAAATGCCCACATCTAAAAAAAAAAAAAAACCAACAACCTGAAACCACAGAACAGAACATGATGAACAAAAGCAGCTAGAGAACAGAATGTTCAGACTGCACCTGAATACTGTCTCACGCTTAAAGGCTTTGGACATAACATTTCAGGCATTAAGACAACTCAGGAGAGAAAAGGACTCGCTTTTTGAACCATCTTCTAAGGCAGTCTAATTCACCTGAGTTCATTCCCAGAACCTGCTTACTACATGCAGAGTACTGCTTCTGCACATAAAATACGTTTTCTGCCTACGTTAATGTTGACTTGCAACCGTTACTTTACTTGTTCTGAACAGAAGGTACCTGTGCTTTAGCACATTTTAACAGCCAGCACTGCTCTTACCGGCCCATAGCATGTGATCATGTTGTCTTCCATCTTCTCACACTGGGGATCACACTCCACACAAACAGAACCATTTGCAAACTCTCGAAACTCCCTAGGAAAATATTTCGCAAGCAGGTTAGGAAAAAGCAAAAGGGAGACTGAAGCTGAGCAAAAATGGCTGCCTCTTCACCGGGTGGTAATCACTTCAGCCTCATTAAGCCAGTAGACTACACCAGCTGAGATGACTTCTTTTAATGGGATTAGGTTGCTTTACAACAGCTGAAAATTGAGCCCAATCAGCAAAGTCACTCAAAAAAATACTTTGAAAGGGGCAGAGCCCACAGAAAGAGCAAATAACATTCTCTAATCAATACAGTTCAGAACATTCCAGCTGAAGTACTGGTTACGCCGTCCAAATAGAGCCTCTCTGCAATCTTCCTGAGACAGGCACCATGGCAGAACCAGCCATCAAGCGCTGCAGGGTTTGTGGTCAGATGTGTTCTGATGCACACAAAACCACAGTTTTATAACACAGTTCTCCAACCTTTTTTAAGCATACAAAACTGTTTTATGTCAGTGTTCTTTTCACATGCATTATCCAGACAGAAGCGTTTTAAGTATTTTAATGCATTTTCAGGACTTCCAATCCTCTCTACATAACAGTTCCATGAGTTATCATACACGGCAAGAAAGAAATTGTGCCAGTGATTTGATTTTCAATTAGCACCTCGAGGAAAAAAGTGTAATTCAAATCACGGTTTTATCTTTATTATGAAATGAATTACTGGGATCTTACTATAATGTTATGCAGGATGCTGAATTCCACCTGCTGTTCTCCAAAGCCTAATTATTAATTACTCCTACTGCAAGTAACACGAGGAGCTTTGCTCCATTTTATCAATACCAGGCACTCTTTGTCTTTTGTTCAGGGTTTAGGCTACCTACCCTTTAGGAAAAAACACACACAGCAGGTTTTATTATTTCTATTTCCATGTAACATACATAATGCAAAAATCACAGGTAAATCTTCACACACAAGTTCAGATTCTGAAATGACTGAAAGCTACGCAGCAATACATTTCACCCAAAGGCAGTAATATTGACAGTGGAACTGGATACCCCTGGATGTAAAGACAAGGTAACTTACACATCAAATCCTGAATTATCCCCTCAGCAGCACTAGCAAGAAGTACAGCAGAAATATCTTACCCATCATACAGGTTACAAGACTCTATGCAGGTCCTCCCCCTGATGAAGCGCTTGCAGGAGAGACACTGGTCTGGCCCTGGCCCCCAACAGCCATCGCTTGAGCATAATTCATTACACACCATTCCATCAGCAGCTACAGAGAGAGAGAACACTGCCATGAAGTTACGCAGTCCTCTGAATTCGAAAGGAAAATGTTTCACCTAGCATTCAAAAAACAAGACACCCCCTAAAAATACAAAACAACAAGGCCCAACTCTTCCTTGCTGATAGCATAAGCCACAGTGGTTACGTGGCAAAATTCCCCCAAGAACCTAATTATTAAAGTTTGTGAGGAGTAAAAGGCCACGAACCTCAACGGCCTCTAAAATGCTAGAAGACTTCAGTCTCTGAGAAGAGAACATGTCCTCTACAGCCCAAGAGTCCTGCCTGATGAACAGGATTCTCAAATCCACCCAGAAACAGAATTAGCACTATTTACCACTGAACCCTCACAACAAAGACGCCAACCTCAACATTACTAAAACTAATTCCACTTCAACAACCAACAGTAACATAACAAGTTTAGTTTTTTTGAAAGAAGCTTCTCTGCAACTGTTTTACTTTTGAAAAAGAGAAATTGTTACGAGACACCGAGTAAAACACTTGCAGACAGGTCAAGAGCCCTAAGACAAAAAAGAACTGAACTCACCCAACAGGCAAAGGAGCTCTGTGGCTGTACAGCACCCCTCTTCAGGGAGCCCCAACTCCAAGAAATGCTCTCCCTCCCGTGGCTGACCCTTATATGAGCTCCCCCTGGGTCTGCCCCTTCTGACCAGCTGGGCAGCACAGGTGCAAACACTTTGCCTGTGCCCCCTGGGCCAAACACAGCCCTTCACCAGGTGCTCCATCACCACTTCAATCCCCGACCCAACAGCTCCCCTGCGGCAGCTGTTAGAGATGATTCTAGAATGGATTCTGCTGTATGCAGTCTATTGCAGAAAAATGGCCTTAACTTTGGTAGTGAGAAGTCATGCCTCACAAAAAACAGGGAACTTGCTGTCTGTGGCAGTCAAGTAGACAAGGAAGATCTGTTTGATACAGAGTGGTAAGCGTGATCTGACGCAGATAGGAAGAAGGAAAAATATAAGAAACAAACCAAACCAAAAGCTTATTTTCCAGACAGAACAATGCTGGATGAAACGCTCTTCTCCGAGCTGACTATTAACGCTCAACAAGAGTTCAGGATTAACCTCAACAAAGAATTAAGAATTAGCATCAACAGTTCTAAAAAACAGTTCAATATGCCACACTCAGAAAAGCAGACCAAATGTTCAGATTTTTTCCTACAAACACAGCAGAGAAAAAACAGAAATAATTATCTTACCACCACGGAAACTCACTCTGCACTCAGTTTGAGTATTACACCCAGTTCTGGCTTGTTCCTTTCAGAAAGGATGAAGTGAGAAAAAGAGTGCTGCAGATTCAACTGCAATGAAGGAACAAACAGTCCTAGGCTCAGGTGAGGACGGTTGCAACAAAATGCTATGATACTGTGAACAAGATCAGAAGCACAAAGCAATTTTCAAGGCTTCTTCCAAGTCCCTTGAGAGCATTCAAAAAGATGGGAACCCAAGAGGCTTCAAAACAGCTTTTTCCTCCTTCAAAGTGTAGATCAAGCTGCAGAATTCCCTAGCATGGGGAGATGGCTTTAAACTAGAAAAGATTTAGAGATCAGGAAGAAATTCTTTACTGCAGAGATGGTGAGACGCTAGAACAGGCTGCCCAGTGAGGTTGTGGATGCCCCCTTCCTGGAAGCATCCAAGGCCAGGCTGGATGGGGCTGTGAGCAACCTGGTTTAGAGGGAGGTGTGCCTGCCTACAGCAGGGGTTGGAACTAGATGGTATTAAAGGTCCCTTCCAGCCCAAACCATGCTATCATTCTATCCAAGTACTACTTTAAATTGTGATTTCTAAATTCTTTGGTGCAAAAGCACCTGAAAAGAGAACAAAGAGCTTTTCGTATTCAACATGTCAGAAAAAAAAACAACAGCCCACGAAGTAAAACACTGTCAGCCTCAAAACCAAATCTCAAATAAACTAAACTAACAAAAGATGAGGGAAAGGTGGTTTCAATCAATATGAATTGCGTATGGCTATTTTATACAATCCTTTACTACATAAATGATAGATGGTAGAAATGAGCAAAGAGCAAAAGTACACAGGTATTCTCTCCTCAGACTATGAAGAAGGTCCATTTCTACTGATGTAGCCATACCTTACCATGTGCAAGTGTCAAACTTGTATTCCGAGTTCACTCTTCCATGACGAAACAGTTTATGCAAATGACTTCTACAGCACAGTGAGTAGATGAAAAATAACAACAATCTCCTAAATATCAGAGATAGCAAATTCACCAACGCTTGCTTCTCCGATTCACTGGAGCTGCACCAGTAGTCTCACTTTTCAGCCAATGACTGGCTTTAAGAACTCGTAAGGAACATAAAAATCCCTCTTACTTCAGATCCCTTTTTGCTCCTTCTCCATCCTAAGAATGCCTTAGGTTCTGATACAGTTTTACACGCTCTCATCATCCAAAGGCAGTTTCCAATTTTTCTCAATCTTTTTGTTGATATTAAGCTTTTATTATCAGTCATTTTCTTTTCTTCCCCGTCAACTATTAGACTACTCTGAATTAAGAATTTATTCCTTCAAATAGCAAGTGACACTATTACAAGATCTCTCTTGGTACAGGCAGAGCCATATACAAATGAAACAAAGAGTAAAGAAAATTAAGATTGTCCTATTGGAATCTAGCCAGCATAGTACCTGCAGTCTGAGAAAAGAAACAAGAAAAAAACCACTCTATTTCTTTCTGCTTATTTCTAGTACAGAAATACTTTTACAAGCAAAAAAAAAATCCATTTAGCTTGCCATTCCTCCTTTTTCGAGGATGTCTAAAGAGATGTTTGAGTTTTAGATGTATTATTTGACATTTTCAGGGGCTGAGAATGTTCTGAAGCTCCAACGTATCCTATGGCCTGTATGTGGAAGAAAAGAACAAAAAAGCTTTTGACAGGAACTCATTTTCATTAGGAGTCTTAGAATGCTCGTAATGCTCATTATTTATCAATGGGGTCACATAGGTTAGAAGTAACTTCCCCAAACTAGATAGAACACAAGAAAGTTAGCTTAAAAAAAAAGAAAAAAAATGGCTCTATTCTTAATCCAGAGCTCCTTGAACTCAACAGAAAATCTCCCGCAAATTTCAGTTACATTTGCATCAAACCTTGCTATTTATTCAAGTTTTCAACCGGTGACTAAATTGACCTAATTCTGAACAACATTTATAACAACCTTTGCCTGGAAAGGTTTCCCTGTATACTGCAGGTGTCAGTAGAGTTGACAGCAATTATTTAGATAACGTCATATGAGAGATCATTTTTTTTCTAGATTTATTTTGTGTGCTCTTGTATTTATCATGAGTTGTCTCTGACTTGTTCCATAAAATACCCATGCTGGGGGAAAAAAAGCCAATTCTTTGCTTCAGCACGGAGCAATGGTAAAATCTAACCGATGGAGTACCTTCTAGCAAGTAAATTTATCATCATTCACTCTGCATTGATTATCTTTGTAACAGTTTAGGCACAAACTGTGTTTAGTATTACAGGTTAGAGCAGGAGACGATTATAAGCATACAACTGATGAGAGGACCTGAGAAAACAGCATGGAGCTGCGTCAGGGGAGGGTCGGGGGGGTGAGGAAAAGGCTCTGCCCCAGGAGGGTGGTGGGCATGGAGAAGCTCCCCAAGGCAGCGGGCACAGACCTGAGCTGCTGGAGCTCAGGGAGCATTTGAACAGCATTCTCAGACATAAGAGTTTGGATTTTGGGTAGCCCTGTGTAGGGCCAGAAGTTGGACTTAGTGATGTTTGTGGGTCTCTTCCAACTCAGGATGTTCTGTGACTCTGTGAGAGCTCCTGAATTGTACATACATACTCTCCCGTCCATTCCCACGAGGGTTATCCATTTGGTCACATCCATTTGCCATGTGAATCCCCTCAAACAACTTTGGGAGACACTGCTGCTAAAGCTGCAGCATCTCTTGAAGGCTCACAGCTCATCCTTCGCTCTTCTCCTCTAACGTGCCTCCAAGCCTATGGATCTCCCAGGCTCCATGCAGTTCACAAGTATCTCACTGGCAATCATGGACTGGAGCGTTTTTGACTGAACTGACTGAACTGAACACTGACTGAACACTGCTGTTGTTATTTTCATTTAAAAAAGAACAGACTTTCACCAAATTCCGCTGTGTCAATGTTATCTCAAAGATAAGCACTGCTGTAAAACTGAACTTGTCTAGGAATATTTAAATCCCTCAATAATTCTTCAGTATTTCATTACTTTTAAGTTCAGCAAAAGACAATTTTGAATGGTATGGGAAAAATACATCACCATTTTGTGATTTGTAAAAAAAAATCACTTCAATAAGAGGCTGATTACATGACCTGAGAAGCTCACACATGCACTTTAAATAAAGCTACATTTGTAATAAATGTCTGCTGTAACATGTTCTTGGCAATTTGTAATCACTAGGCAGCAAGGAAAGCAGTAACAAGCTGACAGTGCCTCAAAATACACAAAGAATTAATAATAAACACACCAGAGTGTGGCTGTAATAATTAACATGGTCTAGACTGGTTTCTTTGTGGGAAATGGTACGAAAAAAACTTTCATGGATATTTTTATTAACAATTCACACTCTGCTAGTTGCCATGTAAACAAATAGTATTTCCACCACAGACGCTACACTTCAATCCTGCAAGTATTTACATACACTTTAACCTTCCTCATTCTGATCAGGCTTTTTGTCACTCAGACAGGCATGTGCATATGCGCAAGTGCCTGCAGAAAGTGGGTCTAAAACAGGCAAAAGAACCAGAAGGCAAAAACTGAAACCCTGGTGGCTTGCCCTCAGATCACACTCAGGCAATGGAAGATCAGAAAAGCTCTGCAGAAGCTCAGTCTGCTCCCATCTCCTGAACAGGACGGATGCTTTGAAGCATGCTGGACAAATGCATCTGGCTCTAAGGACCAGTTCTGTCTTACCTCAAGTAAAGGTGAGGAGTTTAGTTAGACATCTAACCTGCAGCAGAACCCATTTAACCCCAGAGAGGTGCTGACTGACTGACAGGCAGAGCTGAAGCAGCAAGGTAGCTCGTCTCATCTAACGTTGACTCTCTAAAGGCCACAAAACATTATCGATTCATTCATACAAGATGTGCATAGAGAGAAAACCACTGTTACATTTATGACTCAGGAAATTAGCAGTCCAAGACATTGCATTCTGATCTAAGTAGCCTGGCCCATAGCCTATGTTCATTAAATACAGCCCGTTTAATCAATAGGCTAGAAATCATTTTTGGAACTAAACTCCTGGTAGTGCATCATATATACTAACTTTTCAAAGGGAAATGAAAAAGAGATCTGTTTTTCTCATGAAGATTCTCCCGGTGTAAAATTTCATAAAATATCTTCAGTAGTATTTTTCTTCCAGGGAAATAAAAGCTTCTACTACAGCAAATCCTCAACAAGGTGGAAGTCAAATAAAGTGCACATTTTCCCTTTGTGTGCAAATGTGCTGACAAGATTTACAGTGCCAGAGTGCGATTTGGCAGTGTGTTCTAGTTTCCATTTGCTCAAGAAGTCTGAGTTTTAATAGCTTGTAGCCATTTCAAAGACTTGACAATCACAGGCAAGGGCAAAAAGGTATTTGACAAAGCAGTCCCAACAACTGCTATGGGACTACATTCCCAATTACTGTGTCCAGTTGGCCTCCAAGTTCACCTGAGCTGCTTCTTATAGTCTTCTAATATGTGGTCTGTAAGTCATTGTATGGGAACTGCTGAGTCACGGCCTGAACCTCTGTTTGATCACCTGAGGAGAGCCATGAGTCAGCCAGAGGAGCACAGCTGAAGGCAATTCAGCTGTGCTGCTGGAAGGGGTGCAGCCTGGACCCCTCCTAGACCTATTTAAGAGCTGGCTACCAGAGGAGAAGGGTTTCTTCTGGGGATCTATGCTGCTGGAGTTTTGAAAGTGAGTGCAGGATAGAGGTAAGCTTTCTCTCTATTCTCTTTTTGTTACCATTATCAGCTTTACAAAACTTTTTTTTTTTTTTTGTAGTTGTAATATCTTAATATTCATTGATGATACAGTCATGTAGCTCTTCAAGCAAAAAGGAAGCACTACTTCCTTTTTGGAGCTATGGAGATTATGTTGCATCCTATTACCTTCATTCAGTTGGATGGGCCCTGGGCAGCCTGTTCTAGTATGAGATATGGATGTTGGCAGCCCTGCCTGTAGCCTGATAGGTGGAGCTTGATGATCCTTGAGGCCCCTTCCAACCCAAGCCATTCTATCATTCTAAGGCTCTATGATGATTCAACTTTCACTTTTACCTGTAGAACAGTAGCCAAATAACAGCCAAAAAACCCCACCTCACCTAGAGATCTACCAAATGAGGTTTAACACTTCATGAGGCTCTCACATAACAGAAGAATTGAGAAAAAAAAAAACAAAAAAAAAACAACAACAACCAAGTGGAGCTGACAGATCTATAAATATGTTCAACCCAGTAGTGAAATCTATCCTCATACCACAGTGATGAGCGCAGCCACAAAATCTTTCAATGCAGAGCAGTATTTCCAAGAGAGGGGGAAAAAAAGAAGCACTTAAAAGTATTATCATGGTCTGAAAAAACATTTCTGCCTTGCCCAATCTGAAAGAACAGATATATCACTTAAACATACTGCAATTTAATGAATTTTTCTCTGGCAGTATCCTTAAAATGAACTATATTGCTGCTATTATGCAATATTATGCAAGTTGCAGTGTGATTTCTGCATAACCAACTCATTTAATCTGCTACACAGTGTTCATTTGATTTTTCAATAGGATCTTAGTCCAGATAAGCTTTCCTGACAGACAATTAGCCCCAGCTGAAATTCTCCTAGTGACCTTCCTTGTCAGACAGGCTCAGTATGGCAAGGGAGAACACAGTTACCAGACAGCAGTCCCAAAAGTGACCTTTCGAGATTGAGAGCCACTTTGGCAAAGAAGAGAAGCAGAAGATGCCTGTTTAGCTCCATAGGTAGAGGGCTGTAAGTCAAAGTCTATAGAAACTATATTCGCTCCACATGTACAACCTTCAGAATCCATATTTATAAAACTGTACCTCTTGTCTCCAAAGTTCATATCTCAGCAGGAAGCAGTGCCTTCTTCCTTCTCCATTTCATTTGCCCATACTTTAAAACACTTCATTTTCTTACAAATCTCCTTGGAGACACTGGGCCACATCTTTAGATTCTGCAAATGATCGATACTCCGCTCTTGTTTGTGGGGCTCTAAACAAGTGACCCCAGCTGCATTTCTGGCCTGTCCACACACTGTATCCTGTCATTACTTAAATCATTTCCCCCAGAGTGAGCCACTCGCAGGCATGAAGATTTACACTGAGAAGCAGTACTTACTGCAGTTCTCTGCTTTTCTATTTCGATGAATCACCGTCTTTTGGCTGGGTGTGCTGAAAAGGCTGGTCCAGTTGACTGTGTGGTAGTAGCATAAATTGCTGTTGTCTGTTATGTAGATGTTACCAGCGCTGATCTGCTTCAAGGACTGGAACTGTAAAGAGGTAATGCCTTGCTGCTTCAGGATGAGTAAGGAAAGGCCGCTGTGACAGAAGGAAAGAGAACGTAGATGAGCCCCAAGAGGTGGCTCCAGAGGTGAAGCTCAGCAGAGCTGGTGGAGAACTTCCCACTGAAATTAGTTTTAATGGCACGATCATTTGCAAATTTGCTCAGAAAACTTTTAGTTTGAAATGGCACAGATATTTTGTGAGGCAAAAGGTGGTTTCATTGCCCAGAAAGCCAAGTGCCCTTTCAGAACTGTAATACCACAAACTGCGAGGCAAGCAATGTTAGGTCAATTCAGCCATCAAACTAACTGGCTAAGTCACTCACGGCCCTGGAACAATCATTAACTCTTTTAAATAAAGTGCTGTCAAGAAAACTGAAGAAAATGTGTTGTTTCTTTACCCCACAGGACATCAAAATTAACACTTCAGATGGTTTATACGCTAAGGAAAAACTGACGAAGTCATGTAAAATGCATTCTAAAATGTGTTAACATGACAAATTAATGTCACTTATGGTAATACAGGAAGAAACTGCTATTTTCAAGGAAATTTTTCCACCCACTTCCTACATTGCGTTTTTCTGCTATTGTAAGCTGTGGTTATCTCCTCTATCAGAAGAATGATAAACAATTGTGTAACACAGGAATGACTGTGCATACTGTATGACTGAAGACAAGTGAACAACATCCAGCTTCTCAACACCCTTCAGGTTATTGTATTTTAATGTTTATAATTGCTTTCCAGCTGTTCTAAACAAAAATTGCTGCTTCTGAACAGAATGCTGGGCTGTAATTCAATCTCAAGGTTTCACTGCTATTCATGATCTGTTTGGTTTGCTGTTAAAAATGTCAGCAAGATGCTGCATTTACACAACTGGGAACCAGAGTTTCCTTTCTACATCGCTCTACAAGGTATCTTGTCTTCCACTGTTATTTCTCACTGCGTTTTCTTCTTTTCAAAAATCAATTCCTCCCTATCAGTTCTCATATGAAGACATGTCTGGTAAAAATGATAGTACAGAGCTAACAAATACCATCTGCTAAGTACAACGTATTCACCTTTTATTGCTTCTTAAGACCAGGTTGTTCTTTGGACATTTGTGACTGTAAATCTATACACATCTGTATGGGCATGCAGATAATGAGGCAAAGTTCTAGTATCTTTTAAGGTACATTTCATATTCATAAAATGTTTTAAAATGTAGAAAGTATTAAATGAACTGGAAGTTGGCATCTGCAGAAATGAACCAGGATCATCTGATGCCGTTTGTTTTTCTTTTACGTCTTTACATTCAAAAGTTATTGTCCATTGTCAAGAATGGAATAGCAAAGATACTGTTAAAGAACAGCTTGCCAACTGAGAAAACGTGCCAAGTTATGACACGCTTCCCAAGAAGTGTTGCACTCGTTGCTACTACAATGCTGACGAAAAACAGCATGGTGAACATAGAAAGTACCTTACCTATACAGAGCTCTTCCACCAATAGTAACCAAGTTAGAAAAAACCCTGAAGTCAGTCATGTTCTCAGGCCACGACTGTATGTTCAAATACCCTGAAGGAGAAAAAGGAAATGTGAGCATCAATCATTCCAGCCATAAAGACTGCTTTATCAAATACATGAATTAAGACAGGCCCAGGCTTTAAGTGAAAGAAAGCGACTGTCTGAGAAAAAGAAATAAAGGTGATGAATTCAAAGACAGCAGTGTGCAAAATTCACCGGCCTGCTCTGTACTGTCTCCTCCAGCGAGGAAAAGGAAGACGTGAACAGCGTCACAGCACTCAATCAGCTTTCAAAAGCCACGCTGAGGGCAAGCTTAAACATCAGCTGCAATCTGAAAGGCCTACGTACCATTTCTCAGCAGCAGCAGGCAACATTAGGATTTGCCTCAATTAAGAACATTCAATTAAAAACGTATTGGAGCCCAAGACAGAAACTGAGAGATCCATTATGATGCATTAAAAGGTAACAAGATTTTCCTAAAACAAAGAACTTTCATCCACTTCTGACCGTGTGTGTGGATCAGTCTTCAAGGGAGAGCACTGGAGGGTAGTGAGTGCAACTCTTTATTTTGTTTTGCAGACATCTGGGACGCACCTATGATTTTGTTTCAGTACAGGACTGGAATGCAATACATCTTTAAGCAAAGGGATAATTCCACTGGTAAAGCAGAGCTTTCCATTAGCATCTGAAACACTTGCATCACTTTGCCAGCATGGTGCTCACTTAACACTAAGGTCTTGGTCTTCTGATGCTCGTATAACCCAAAGGCAACGTTTATTCTGTATTCGTGTGTAAAGTAAAGGACAGCACAGTTGTGAACAATACTTTAATAAATAACAACTCCAATATCAGCTATCAAATACATAGCAGAGTGAGTTTTAAGAAAAGAGCATCTGTGCTCCTCAGGAAACCCAACAAATGACAAAGCAAATGCAGAATGAAAAGAAATTCAGATTGTAGGACATCGGAAGTGTTTGTTACCTGTTATCTCTCTCACTGTTTGGAAAATATTTAATTTCTCAGGATTAATGGCTGCGATTGTGTGATATGGATCCCTGGAAGATTAAGCAGACAAAATGCAACACTGTGAATGATAATTAAACAAACAAACAAAAAACAACCACCACAACTTTCACAAAGTTCTGCCATGCAGAAAGTAGTATTATATTTTAACACGAGGTCAATGCTTTGATTTCAGGCAGTGTGAGTTGCAGGTTTCAGACTTCTGATTCTGCAAAATCTAACTTCTCCCGTGTCATTTCAAAGGGAAACAGTAGTGCTCACTATCCTGAGTCATGAATATTTTAGTAAATACTTCAGCTGCTGGAAAATTAATGGATTCAGAACAACTGTGGATGATCTTCATAAAGGATGATTTTTCTCAGGCAGACTAGCTGAAATGGCACAGCTGAAGTACTGTGCTACTACCTGGACTAACAAAACTGCTACTGAAACAATTCACAAGCTATAAGCAGAAGAGAACTATGAGCATGCTGGCAGTGCCTGACATGTGACTTCAGATGGAAGCACTAAGCTAAGCAGTCAAGCAAGTTGGCCACCTGGGAACTGAAATGTCCCCATCAAACAGGAAAATCTCAGGTATGCTACAGCATAAAAACATGACACTGACTCATTTTGAGAGTGCCATGAGTTAGCATTTCTTCTTCTTAATTCTAACAAAAAAACCTTGAAATAGTCAGGAAAAAAATTCTTCTGTAACACCATCTTATGGTGTTTTTGTGAATTTTACAGGGCTAGGAAACAACCTCGGGAAAAGATAGAGCATGCATTTCCATGTCCTGCTTCCTAAGAGACATTCTTGGAACTGGAGCTATATCTCCTGAGACAAGCCTCACAAGTTTGTCCTGCAGTGAATATGCAACAAAACCCCTTAATAGGCAAACGCCTGATCTGCTTTACCAACATGCAAACTTGTAGAGTAATGCAGGCATCTACCACTCTTCCTAGCAGAGCCAAGACTTCTCAGTAGAACAGGCAAAACTGAACTTTGCAGCTTCAAGAACAAGAGATTTAACTGATTGCATGACTGCAGACAGACAACTAAAGGGGAGATAAAACACTGCCTATAATGGAGGCTTGTTGCTCTTGCTGATAGTTAGGGCTCTCTGTTCTTAACAGAGATTATAACAGAGAAACAGAAAGAATGCCATAAGCGAGTTTGTCAGGGCCTACTGGACCAATTCTTCCATCTGTTCAGGTCACTGAAAGATGGGCTTCATGGGCAACATTTTCTTAGCAATGATGCTATCACAACAGCCTTGAAATAGTGGCTCACTATTGCTGTGCACTATTGCACTGGTGCAGATTTTTATAAGCACAGCATGCAGACTCTTGTTCATCACTGGCAAAAATGCACAGCTAATGCTGATGACTGTGTTGAAAAATAGTGTTTTGATAGAGAAAACTCTCAGCTCCAAACAGGGTTATTGTGCTCCTTCCATCTATTGTTGTTGCCATGGAAATAAATAGAAAGCATCATTTTTGGAGTGACCTACACAGTTTGAATAGACATTGTTACAAATACATAGCGACTAAGTTCAAATGATGAGGCAACAGAAAGACGAGCTACAAAATACCAGGATCAAAAACCACAGAATCAATTGTAATCATACAGTTACCAATCAAAACAAGAAAATCCACTCTTAGCATCTTTCAAGCAATGAAGTAGTTCTCTGAGACTACAAAACACCTTGCAACTCTGCAGAGATGCAGACTTAAAGTCTCCACAATCTCAAGTGCTGAGAGTTCAGCTTAAATGTTACAGTTCACAGAGTATACAAATTTGTAACAGAAGGTAACTAGAAGTTGGAGCGGAGGTACGTTTTGTTATTGCTCTACATAATCCATCTATGTAACTGGCAGCATACCTACTATCATCTTTCATTTCCTGTGTGTACTAATGATTCGCAAAATGCAATTACAGTTTTAAACAAAAAAAGCTGTTCCAGAATATTTTCTTCCCCAGAGTGTTTTATTCCAGGTTGGCTTTGTTCTCGTTATATTTAATTGATAGATCTGCTATCATGACTCACCTTGTAACTTCGCTATTACTGCAACTTCTACAAAAAATGTCTCTGTAATCCTCAAAATCACAGATCTCTTAATGAACTGCAGAGAACTGCTCGGTTCCTCCAGCTGCTTGCCTTGCATTTACTAGAGTACTTCCTGTCTTGTGGGATGTAACAGATTTACAACCAGCCTCGTGAGCAATCATTTGGATGAGAAAGTGCTAAGGTGTGAGCACTGACTGCTGCGTGACCTTCACAGGGCTTCCATAAGCCCAAAGCTGCATTTCCTTAAACCACCTGAACCTACTTTTCTTTCTCCCTATGCCACATTAACCTTTCACACTGTGCTCTCTGCAGGAGATGAGAAGGCCAACCGCGCTGCTGAAGCTCACACTGGCTGCCCTTTTGAACATCAGTGAGCTGCAGGGCTCCGCCACTGAAACGGATTTTCAGCTCTTGAGTGGCTGGAGTCAAGTTGTAGGTGAAGAAATATTACAACCCATCAGCCCAGCAAACCAAAGAAACAAGTCATTTCTCTCCACCTCACCTCGTAGGGAAATGTGAGCCACGCAACCCAGAGTCAACAACTTCATTATCTTAACGCATCTAAATCTAAGGAAAGCTGACAAAATATCTGCTGCTATTACTCATGCCAGAATTCCACTTCAGATCCATCTGCGGAAGTTCAGCTCATCACACACTACGCCATGAAACTGCTAACAGAGAGTTAGCCTGGAACCATACCTTGTATTGTTTATCCTAACAAGCAATTGCAGCCAGCGCTGAAAACTCTGAGAAGCCAAAAGAGCATATTAAAACTTGAGGACTACCCAGCAGAAGTAATTGAATACTTTGTACTACTGATGTATATTTATTACAACAAAGGGAGAGAAAGAGTTTCATCCTGCTAGTGCATTTTGAGGATTTCACTCGTTTTAAAAGGCCCTGCAATACCTCAAAGCACCACATGTAACTCACCGTGGCTGATTACACCACGAAAAGCTTGAATTAGTGGGAAAATACAATCCTACATCTGCTCTCTCAAAGAGCACAAAACAAGAAAGCAGTTATTGACATCGGACCTCCTCTGACCACCAAAACAGATTACATCTGTTCCCTCCATTTACATCCCACCCTGCTGAATTTGCACCACACATTCACTTTTGATACAACGGCAAACGGCTCGTCAAACTATTAACAGCATGAGGTTATTTGGCTGGTCTTTCTTTACAAAAAACAGACATTAATGAGACTTCCAAATACTGGTTCTATATCTCCACATCATCTACTGTTATTAAGACCTATTCAATACACGGATGTATTTAAAGCAAAACACCGCATTTAAGTACCACTGATTTTTGCACATCTCTGCAATTGAAACTGGAATAGATACAATTAAAATGAGTTGACAAGAGGGCAGGTTTTTTTGCATGCATGTGCAGCAATAGCCAGCTAGGCTCTGACAATTTTCACTACGTGAGGCACTTTTAGCATATTCTGCATGTTTCACCACCGATTAAACATAATTCAGAACAAATGAATGGAAGGGAACCTATCCTCTGTTATGAGCCATTATTGAAAGCGAGTGCTGAAAATTTTACGAAGGAACCTAAGCTCTCAGTTGGCTTTTCTCTTTCTAATGCCATCTAGTTCATTCTGTCTTTTCCTACAGATTGAATGCTAAGAATCTGGTTAACAGTTTCCTTCACAAATGAAGGCAGGAAACTAATTTATCCTAGGTCTGCAGTCGAGTAATAGAAGCCTGCAGCTGTAATGCAGAGGTGGGCACTACTGGTTTCAGCGTGCACCATGACACAACATACAAACATTTTGTCACTTACCCATGAATCCCAGTAACAAGGAAGATCAGGTTGCCATTGATCTTAGTGCAGTTTATGAACTTGTCAATGTTGCTGGAATCCACCGTCTGAGCTGACACTAAGCTCCCTGTTCCAATGCCATCACACGCTGCCAAAACAAGGAGTTTATGTGAACAACTAGGAGAAACAATTACTAAATCAGTACCTGTCATCCCTCTAAATGCAAGCCTTTGTTTCTTTCAGAGAAAAAGCAGCAATGAGGTGTTAAAATGGCGCTCATTACCCATATTCCCCGAGGACCGAGTGCTAATTTAAACCAGAAAGTTCAAGGACCTGCCACAGAAGGGCATCCTGGCAAATGTTTTTTCACGTTGAATCTCAAGGCGAGTAAGAACCCCACAAACTCCCACTCGAGCCATCTGTAAGGAGATACTTGATGATTTAGCTTAGATTGGCTGCATCCTATATTTGTGCACTACTTACTGCAAAAGGAAGGGGTCCTACACTGCTAGCTCAACAGGTCCCCTTTGCTTTGGTGAACTTAAAGTCTGTGAACTTCACTATTCAAGCACCAGAAGGCCCTCTTGAAAGGAAGCACAAAAATAATTTCATCATCTCATTAAACAACAGACCTTAAGAAACCTTGGTATGAACGTTGACGAATCTTCTGCATGCTGCATTTCAATGCAACTGCATTAAAAGCTGCATTTTCTGATGCATCCAAGAACAAAAACCTCCCAGCTTCCATCAGATAACACATCTATCTCCCTAATGGTCTCCTCAGATGGCAACCATTATCAGAACACCTCAACTTTTAGTAGCTTCCCTCCATCCCATTATGTAAACCTAAGGGCTTAGGAAGAACAATATATGTATTCACATGCATCCAAAGGTATCTTTTCAACTGCAAATAGGTTTAAGTATGTCATTTCCCAACCTTGGGCAGAAGTTTCTGTTTAGCTGTTTCAGCCAGGTGGTGTGACTACTGATCTACAGGGTTTGCAGTAGCTTGGTGGTGAATTCCTTTTCAGACTACTACAGAACTAGTTTTACTTCTCCCCACTAGTACTGAAAAACGACAGGAGCCCATATGGGAAAAGTGACGGTGCTTTGATCCTGAGACATTAAAGTGGGGAGCTTAACGTCTCCCCATTGGAGCTCAAGACCAAGTAACCTATAAATATCATTCTTCTCATCAGCATTCTCACTGAAAAACTTCTAATCTACCTTTAAGACACTTAGAAAGGAGGTAAGAGATTCTGGGAAAATAGGTATTTTCAGAGAACAGTCAAATAATGGAAGCTTAAAGCTATACTGAGTGTGAAACGTACCATATACTGAAGTCTGGGTTTTAGTGCAGCCTCCTTTGGAATGACAAAAGGAGAGCTCTGAAACACCTCCAGGAAATACGAGTCATTAAAATGATATAATAAAGAATTCTTTCAGATTTCTCTAAAACCAATGAAGAAATCGCCCTCATTTTTATCTAAGCAAAAGTAATTGGTTTAGTTATACCACCATTATAACTGAATAAATTTTCATTTCGTTGTATTTAGGAACACGCTTCACACACAGCCTACATAGTTCAAAGTTCTGTGGATATCCAACGGCTATTAATATCAAATATTCTACAGCATACTCATACATATTTCATGCCAAAATAACACACTGCTTTGCTCTACTGGAGTGTAGACTACAGTCAAAAACATTTATACTAAATTATTGCCTACCTTTAGGACAAATGTCAGTGCAGGGCTTACACATCTTAATACCGTTTTCTTCAACCTCCATCTTGGAGCTTGGACATGCACGGACACAAGAGCTGGAATCTACCACAAAGTTGTCTACAAAGAAGATATTGGGAGAAAGTGAACCACCGGACTACACAATACTGGAAGAACATGTTTTTTGATTGCACGATGTCAGTACATGTTATTTACCTTCATGCTTATCGAGACACTTCTGAAAACAATGAGCAATTTAGACCCGTATTTGGTGACTCAGGAAGAAACAGTTCTCTTTCACACACACAGAACTGTATTTGTGGGATAATGCACCGCATGGGACAACGGCAATTATTTCAATTTTGCCTTGTAAAACAACTGCCAAAGGAGATATAGACTGATTCTACCTGATTGAAAGCTTAATGAGGTCGAGAAGAAAAAAATAAATCAGGAAGCTCAATGAAGTATTTAGACAAAGAATCACATCCCTAAAGCAGTACATGGCACACCAGTTCTGTTAAAAATAAACAAAGCTTTGACTTCCTTAGATGATTCACCACTCTTATTAGAGACAGAACGAAGCTGTGACAGTCCCCACCTCAGCCTACTGTCAATCTGAACTTCACTGTGGAGATTCAAAATTTGGATTTAGCATTGAGTTGAGTTATGGTTCAGTTTATTACAGATCATCCAGGTAAATTACATTTAAAACAATGGACAATGCAACTGGAAACATTGGTGGGAACAAAAGGGGGAACAAAAACATGGTCTCTGTTTCCTAACTAAAACGTCTGTACCAAAGACTGCATCAATGACAATCTGCAAGGAAGTATTTTGTTCTTTGCCATCCGGCTGGCATTTCAGAAGCACGTGTCCTTCACATGCACGGGATTACTGATTTTAATCTCCCCCAGCTACTGTAATTTCACTCATGGCATTGTCAGTACGGCAAGCTTTTTTCCCCACTGGGAAAACTGCTAAGGAAAATGTCTGTGGTAACTTTATGTCAAACCATCGTGATTCCAAGAAAAGAGCATCATGAAAGTGTTTGATGCCAGATACTACTGCTGGTAGACTGTCAGTTCTGTTAATTACACGCATTTATACAATCCCTGAACTAATGCAGCATTTTGGCATTATCTTAACAGTTCATTTCTAAATCTACACGGGCCCTTTGAAAGCATGAATGCAACAAGTGGTCACTGTGGAGACAGAAACTCAGCGAATTCCCTTTTTGTAAAAGAAAAATCACTCCAGCACACAACGCTTGGAAAGCGTCAACGACCCAGAACTCTGTTTCTACTTAGCACACGCCTAAGCTTTTGCAAGATGCAGGCGCACACAGGGTGATCTGAGGCTCTGCACTGCTCACTTCACTCTCCTCCTCTGGCTGCTCCACAGGGCTCCTGAAATGCAATTCAAAACTTCCCATGGCCGTAGGAGAAGAGAGCCAAGGCAGCACTTACGTGGGCACTTCTTGACGCAGAAAGCCCCGTACGTGTACTTGGCATTGTGATTATGTTCCAGTTGGAAGGTAGTAGGATTGTACACGAATGTCTGGGGGCACTGTGTGACACACGCTCCGCTATCATTGAAATTCATGCAGGCCTGCAAAACGGGAGGAAAGAAAAAAATCAGCTTGATTAAAGCATACAGTTGGTTGTGTAGCTGTTTTGGTTTTTAGTTTCACTGTCCTGACGACTGTTCAGAAACGTTGCAACAGGAGGGAACGCGATGCATAGCCTTCTAACCTCTATTTTGTCTACACAGACTTCTTGCTAGGACGTTGGCAAATACATGGCACGTGAAAGGAATTCTCAGAGACCCCTTAATCTAAAACACAGCTGGCTGTTACAGCATTTCCTACAAAAAAGTAGCAGAACTCCAATTTGTTTCATAACTATTGTTACTACTAGTAATCAACTAACTCACAACTCCATAGGACTAAAGCTGCCAGGAGCTAACAGTTATTTACCACAGTTCATCTAAACAAATGCTAACCACTTTTCTTTAGAGGTCCAACCTTTTCACTTCTTACAGCCTCAGTCCGAAGTCCAGCTGAAAACTGAAATTCCCAATTAGAAAGCAAGAGGGATCAGAACTTCTTTTGAGTTAGCACAGGAGGGGGTCATTTCCCTAAGTGCAAGTTTAACAAGGTCAGTTGCTTCACACACTGGGAAAAGAAAATAGGACTTTGTATCACTTAGCATTCAAGCTCAGCCACCCACAGCTGCCAGAGGACAGGGCTCTGACAAATGAAGAGGCAAGCGTGTGGTTAAAGAGAGTAATAGTATGCAGGAAGAATAGTTGGCCATGCAGGGATGATAATGAGCAAGGTTAAAAAAAAATAATCACAAAAATCGTGGTGTTCTTTATCACTACACCTCTTGTCTGTGGTTTTAATCACAGCTTACAGAAAACCAGTGAAGTAGCAGTCACAAAGCACACCACCAATGCCTAGTGTCAAAACTCATACGAATACGAAAGCTGTAGCCTGGCTTGAATCCTCCTAGCATCTTAAGCAACCGATGCTACTGGATTTTGCCCACCTACCCTTCATCCTTACCAAGAACCGGATAGAAAATCCACTCTGTGAATAGAGTTGTGTCATTTTTCTGATTTCAGAGCATTCAGCCTGGTTCTGTTGTGCTTTTTCAAGTTTTAGATCCAGTTTGATTTTAAATACAAGATAAATATATATATTTATCTTTTTTTTTATATATATATATATAAATATTTCTAAAACTTTATTTTAGCATGTTTGCTTGCAGTTATCTTGGACGACGACTACTGTCCTGCTTTTATAACTGAATATCCAAATGTCTGTATGGCAGCATATGGAGGAGGCTAGATAATTTCATGAAGAAGTGACACCATATTTCAAGCAGGATGCTGTTACAAGCTGCCCTAATATGCTGAAGAGTTTTTAGGGTTTCATAAGCTCTGCTTGGCTTATTAATAAATTCTGATTTAGTTCATTTTCTCCTCATTTTTTTGTATCCACTGTCAACTTAAGAAATACTCTATTATGTACACAACAATCCTCCTAGCAAATGCATAAAGTAAAACATGCCAATACTATTTTAATATGGAACTTCTCAGGAGAAGAAGAAAGTTGGGAAGTTTTACTTCTTGACTGTAATACTTTGTAATCATTTGTAATTGCTTTCATAATGTAAGCAAACATCAGGATTTGATGCTAAACACTGCTAATATGGGAATGAAAGCACAAGAATGTACACCAGGAAAAACTGAGTTGTATCTCTCGGTTGAGAACTAAGCACAGTTGGTCATTGCCTAAAGGGTTACACTTTTCACACAGTGTGTCACAAGCAAGTAATGACTCGCCTTGAAAATTGTCTGACCCCTGCTGAATTTTGGTTACATCGCTCTGGGGCCAGAAGTGAATGAAAGCAATGCTCTGGGTATTTCTCTGCTGAGTCAGAAGATGCAAACTATCATGACTTCTAATGTACATATTCCTATAATTGCCATTATTCAGAAAATCTTTTTTCTTTCAGGCTGCAGTACTACAGAACATGGCCAAACAAGATGTGGGCTCAGCACTTCAGCACTGAGAATGTTCCTCGACTACTGTATGACACCAATAAATCTTTTCTTTACACATTCAGATTACATGACATCACGGGAAGGAATGATGTTTCCACAACTCTAGTCGAAACCAACCAAGAAGTTCCAGCAAGCTTTGGATCACAGAATCAGAATCATAGGAGCTGGAAGGGACCTGTGGAGATCACCTAGTTAGACCCAACTGCTAAAGCAGGTTCCCTACAGCAGCTTGCACAGGAACGTGTCCAGCGGGGTTTTGAGTATCTTCAGCCTGTAGTTTCTCTGGGAGCTTGCTCAAGGGCTCTGTAACACACTTAGAAAGTAAGTTTCTTCACATGTTCGTAAGGAATATCCCGTGTTTCAGTTTGTGTTCACTGCCCTTTGTCCTGTCATTGCCCTCCTCCACTTCACATCTGCCACTTGAATTTTTATAAGCATTGATAAGATTCCCTCTCAGTCTTCTATTCTCCAGGCTGAACAGCCTTAGGGCACTGAGACTTTCTTCATAAGAGAGATGCTGGATCGTGGTCCACCTGTTCTGCACCAGGATATGTGGGTCCCTCCCTGCAAGCTCCTTTCTACCAGTAAACTCTACTGATGCACATGGTTATTCCTCCCCAGGTGCAGGACTCTACACTGGCTCATGCTGAACCTCACATAGTTCCTCTCTGTCCAAGTCTCCGGCCAGTCCAGGTCTTGCTGTCATGTGAGCCACTCCTCCCAGCTAAGTATCATCAGCAGACTTGCTGAAGGTGCACCCCTTCATCCAAGTCACTGATGAAGACGCTGAACAACACTAGGATCACCATGAGCCACTCACCTGGAGTACCAACACATTTGCAATTTGACCATAGGTTGGGAGGGGTCTTAAAGAACATCCAGCTCCAAATCCCTGCTGTGGACAGAGCTGCCACTCACCAGGTCAGTATACCCAGGGCCCCATCCGATGTGGCCTTGAAAACTTCCAGAGATGAGGCATCCACAGCTTCTTTGGGAAGCCTGTGCCAGTGCCTCACCACTCTTTGAGTAAAGAACTTGCTCCTAACATCTAACCTAAACTTCCCAACCTTCAGACTAAAGCCATTTCTCTTTGTTCTATCACTCTCAGATCATGTAAGAAGTCAGTCTCCTTCCTGTTTGTAAGTTTCCCTGAAGAACTGGAAGGCTGCAAAGAGGTCTCTCCAAAGCCTTCTCTCCTCCAGACTAGACAAACCAAGCTGCCTAAGCCTGTCTTCGTAGGAGAGGTGCTCCAGCGCTCTGATCATCTTTACAGCCTTCCTCTGATTCTGCTCAACAGCTCCACAGCTTTCTTGTGCTGGTGACTCCAAGGCCTGGACATGAAACTTCAGAATAGGGCCTCGTGAAAGCAGAGTAGAGAGGAACAATCAGCTCTGTTGCGCTGCTGGCCATCTCTCTCTAGGAAGAGCCCAGGATACAGTTGGACTTCCAAGCTGCAAGAGAACACTGCTGGCTCATATCAGCTTCTCATTCTCTTGGGACCCCCGTGATCTTCACCACAGAGCTGCTGTCAAAGACTTCTCCCAGTCTGTACGCGTATCTGGGACTGTCCTGACCCAAGTGCAACACTTTGCATTTGGCCTTGTTGGATCTCATTTGGTTCACAGGGGCCCACTCCTCACGCCTGCCCACGCCATCCTTCCTGCTCTGAATCGACTGGACCACTCCACTTGGTGTTTTCTACACATTTTCTGAGGGTGCAATATCACACTGTCCAGGTCACTGGTAAAGAACATTGAAGAATGTCTGTCCCAAGAGAGATCCCTAGGGGACACCAGTCATCACAAGCCTCCACCTGGACACAGAGCCATTGACAACAAGCCCTCTGGCTATGACCACCCAATCACTTATTTATCCACCTAATCGTCCAGTCTTTAAATCCACATCATCCCAATTTAAAGATAAAGATACAGTGTGGAGCCATGTCAAATGTCCTGCACAAGTTCAGGTACATGACATCAGTTGCCCTTTTGTCCATCGGTGCTACCATTCCATCACAGAAGGCCATCAGACTGGTCAGGCACGATCTGCCCCCGATGAAGCCATGCTGGCTGACTCAGATCACCTCCTCATCTTGCATGTGCTTCAACATAGCATAGATCTCTCTTTTCAATACCGCCTGGCAGGTTTCAAGAGGAGCTCACCCGAGTTGACTGGTATTCATCCCCTCCATCACTTGGGTATCTCTGAAGATCCACTTCTTTGAGCAAATTCTAATTCTAATTCTAAGCTTCCTTTGGTCTAGGTTTGCTGCCCTTGAAAACATCAGCAAAACCTGCCTCTGCAGCACAGAGCAGTGAGCTGTATGTTTTTTGAAATCAGTGTTGGTGGCTGAAGCTGTTTACACTGTTACTAATACGTAGTACAAATGAGACAAATTTGGCTAAAGGTCTGCATGTACCAAAAAAAATGTCTTCTTTTGTCCTTTTATCTTAAGAATACGTAGCAGAATACATTTGAGGCAGAATATTTTGAGAACCGCTTTCCTTCCTAGTATGGTTAGTAAAAAAGCTGTGTTTAAATCCTGTCTGGCAGTAATAGGGAACATCTGTCATGAAGAAGCTAAATTGTAATCCTGACTTCCAAATAAAAAGTGCGTTGTGCAGTAATAAAAGCCATACTCGAGTGTAATGATAAATCCATCTGAAAATTCCCTATCACCTCCAAAAAAATTATAGAAAAGCAAAAGATAAAAAACACAGAGATTACCATGTTAACGTTTCCCAATCCGTATTTACAAATCTCAAATCTGCTAATGGGTAATATTAAGCAGATAAGTGATGCCAATATAAAAACATTAAATGTTAAGAATCAAAATCCGGGAGTGTGCATGCAATGCATTCAGAGGGGCAAAACTGTGAGTTTCATGGGTTAAAGCACTAAAAACATGCACTGTGTCTGGCAGGAAGAGGAAAAATGAGAAGTCTCACACATACAAAGCAATCAGTGTCTTTGGGTCCGGAACAGCCTCCAGCGCACTCCCGGTGGCAGCAGTCGCTGACGTAGGGCCCGTAGCACCGTCCATCACACTGCTCTGCACACACTGTCTTTGTTACTAGGAGAAGGAAGGAAAAACGATCGTGTCAGAATCAGAACTGAGGAGACAGCTCTTCAGCTGCACGCTGAGGAAAACAGGCTGAACAACCACATACTGTAATAAAAAATAAAATCCACTAAACTAAGGTTTAAGGTAATTTTTTCAACTAGTAACCGTTTCCTTCCAGGATACCTCGATGGTATCTTCAACAACACAACACTGCATGAAATTCTTCCTTTCTCGTCTTTTAGCGACATGTACACTTGGAAAAATCAGGTGGAAAACTAATTTCAAATTACTGCAGTTTTACCAACAGCTACGGATGGACATGGAGCAACAACAACAAATGACAAAGTAACAGCAGAGCCCACCTGTTCTGAATCAGCTTTACCCTGCAAAGAACTGCCGAAATTGAGAGCCAAAAACTGTTATTGCGGGCAATCCATTTCAGAAATAGGCAATGAGGTAACAGAACAGAGCACAACTTTCAGGCTGGAGCACATCTGGAATTACTGCTCGCTTTTTTCCTAGTAACAACCTAGCCTTCATTCACAGGCATACAACTGTACCAACCAGCAAGCATAGCAAGTGGAGTGGAACCATACAACAGGGCTTAGTCTTGGGCAAAGAACGGTCAACAGGTGGAATATCTCCCTCACTGCAGCTACAGCCTCAGACTTTATTTTACAGAAGAAGAAACTAAAGTTTTCTGTGGGATTATACCAACCACCACCGACAGAATGTGAGGAAGACGTGCCGTCAGCTGTCTTGATAAGGAGCAGAGATTGCTGCACTTCTGTAATTAACCTCTGCTAATTATTTTGCTGAAAGCATTTCATTACTTCTCTATTCGAGAGGACAGAGAAAGCAAAACTTGCTTCCCTCAACAGCACCCACCGATCCCACCTTGCAGGCTTACAGATTTTTGCTTTTTCTTTAATTGCACTAGAGGCCCACAGCTTAGGAGGCAAATTTCAGGCAGATATAATTAACAGTCTCAACTAAAAAGGAGGGGACACGGCGGCACACAGCTCAGCCGCTTACCAGCGGGACGCTGATAAAAAGCATTCCTGTCTGCCGCCGCTCCACTGCAATTTAATGCTGTGCTTACATCTGGGAAGTCTTGGTGCACAGCACCTCTGTGCAGAAAATTAGTCCGAGCTACCTAATGAGCTCAATTATCATTTCATCCCCCGAGGGCCAGCTGCTGCTGGGAACCACGATGCCCACCAGGACGCACAGCCGTGCTTCTCTGTGGAGAAGGCTCCTGGCAGGGTGTTAAAAGAGCGAAAAGAAGAGCTTCAGCTGCAAGCCATTCCAGAGTATGCTTCCTCCCAAAAAGCAATGACATGCAGGAGCACCAGGACTGACGTGGAGGAGCACAGCCTCTTTCAGCACTGTGACTTCAGAAAGTGCTTCCCCGCTTCCGATATGGCACTGGTTGAATGCGGCCCCTATGGAGCTGCTCAGATTAGGGCATGGTTTCAGCTCTCCTGAGGGCTAGAAAGTTATAAAGCAGCCTGCAAAATCTACAGTTGCAGTCAAGGCTTGTTGCTGTTCTTCCCTAATTGTTTCTGTTATGTTTCTTTTACTGGGAAAGCAAACAGTGCCAACAGAAATGCCAACATTTCATTGTAGGAAAAGGCCACAGCATACCTTATTATCCCCTGCATGCCGTATTTGCATTACAGCTGCTGCTGAGGGCCCAGCTCTGAGGAGGAGCTGTCAGAGAACCTCTGTGGCACCACGCAGGCAGACAGAAAGAAAACATCTTAGCAAAAGAGACCCAATCTTCTGAAGGACTCACTCAAGGCAGCTCACGGCAAAGGTGCTTCCCCAGGACAAAACAAATACCACGCTATCGTTACAAGTCCTGAAACCATCTGGCTGTTCAGATTCCAATAACAGCTCAACAGTTCAGTTCCTGCAGCTGTTCTAATGGTGTCATGCTCGTGGTCTTGACAAAATGTGCCACGCATTGGAGCTGGTTCCTGGGGGGTGAGCAGAATGCTGACTGTCAATCTTCACTGGTATTTCACTCTAATAGCAAAACACTGTGTGAGGCATGGGGTGGAACGGGCACTTCCCGTGTGTGTGCAATTAATTGGCCTCTTTTATTGTTTCCCTTCATCTTTAATTATGTCGGGGCACTATAAATCTATGAAGGGAAAAAGGGGAAGAAAGTGAAATCAATGAAAAAGTCTTACGAACATGCAAAGTTATTAGTGAAATACAAGGATTTTAATTAAAGATGCTGTCTCCAAGCAAAAATGCTAGCTTACCCTGATTGATCTAAGCTGCCGATTCAGCTCTTTCTTTCTCCCCCACCAGGCTCCCGCCTGCCTTTTGCTGCTCTAATTGGGTACTTACTGCATCTGCACCTTCTTTTTTCTCAGCAACATCAGCTGCACAAAGACTGTATAAACACAATTATGCCCAGGCCAAGCTCCTGTACACACACACAGTCACACAGAGTTGCACATTTGCTGAATGTTTGCGTTTAGAGTTTGATTTAAAGGCTTTTCCCCTTCTTTGCATTCCCTTAGTGGGCTTGTATTTTAATTGGAATTCTTCTCCTTTGGTTACATTCCTCTAGGACAAAATGCATAATCTGTCATTTTAATAAAATAATACACTCCGTTTATAAAAGTTGCAATTTCTTCTCATATGGAGATGAAACAAATACTCCAAAAAGAAATCAACAGCAAAAACAGTAATAGTCCAAGCACAGATTAGAAAAATTGACCAGTAACTTCCAAATGCTTTTGTTCTTATGTTTAAGTGGTTTACATTCTGTATAGCAAATGCCCAATACTAGGTGAAAAACAGATGCTTTTTATGCTACTCCACATCAGCCTTTCATGACACGGAGAGAAAGAATACTCTCCAGTTTTTGTTTCAGATTAATATTTACTAGTTTTTAATTATAAAAGAAAAATGGATGGTTAACTGCATAAAACACTACCCTGAAATTATCCAACTCCTGCTGGATCAGGTCATTTAAGATTTCCCATTAATAGCCTTCTTCAATACGTAAGTTTTCTTGTCACATTTAGGGAGACATGAGGACAGAGCTAGATGCAGGTGGCGTTTCAGATAGAGAGACATACATATGGAGAGACATAGCTGGAAGGCAACACAAGACAGGTAGATGATATTCATACAAAAACAAAAGGATATTATTTTTTTCCCCCATATGTAGTTTGAAATGAAAGACAGGGATTAAGATCTTTTTTTTTTTTATCCTTTTCCCAGGAGAATAATTTAAATCTTATCATGGGAAGGGGGCTCATTAGAATTTTTTGCTTCAGTGAGTGCATAAAAAAGTGAAATTATTAAATGCAGACAAGCTGCTGCAGATGAACAGAACAGTTTGACACTGGGAAGCAGTACTGCTGAATGCTCTCTTAAAGATGCCCATCCCCAAGGTGACCAGGTGAAGGTAAACGCAATGTTTGATACCACTCATCTCATCTCCAGCTTGTGTCGTTAATGATACTGAAAGCCAGGCATGTCTTTTAAAGTCAGAAATGAAGGCAGCAAAAGCCTAACACCACTTGGGTTTTTATGAGTTCCTATTCATATTCTTTGTTTCAGATGGTTTTTTAGAAGAACAAGTTTTGCATAGCTGCAGAAAAGAACTGCTCGCTGCCAGCCCAACAGTCAGCCTTTCTGTTCAGTCCTGCTTTTCACTTAGAGCGTGAGGTCAGGGTGGCAAAGAGAACACATACAACCAAAAATTAGCTCCTATCTCTGACCATAGGAGAACGCAGGGAACTACGCTGACAGTGTGCTTCCAGGCAAAAGGATGTAAAATAGTTCTTTCAAATTAGAAATGTGTGATCTGTGCATCTGCCTGGAACTCAGATAACATGTGCCTACCCATAGTTAATTATTTTGAATCCGTGGTCCTGCCTTTGCCTATCCCCTCTGTTTAGACGAGAGGGCAGTCACTGTGAAGGAAAAGAGAGCTGTCACTCTGGGAGCAAACCTACCGTGCAGCTCTGCTAAGCTCCAGACTCCACAACACTGCAGATAAGTTTTGCTCTCCCTGGTATTACTACATTAATCCACCAAATCAGCTCACTTATCTGAGAGCAGTGCTTTGTGCAGGTTGAGATCATGGGAGCCGATCCTACTTGAACAGCCACAGAGTCCAGCTGGCCTGTCCAATGCTAAGAAGGCTGGAGCCTTTGCTGGCTGGAAGAAAGGCCTGAGCCAGGACCAGGTCGCCCTTATACAATGTAAATGCCAGGGTTTTGCAGTGTCCTCTGATGAGATAACCACATGATGCCCAAATAAGTCTACCTCTGCTGGGGAGAATAACAGAGATAGATAAACAAGCCTAATGAAGCATCATCAATTAATTCTAATCTGGCTGTGATATAAAACCCTTGTGGGCAGCTAGGGTTCTGTCCCTTTGCTCTACGTACTTGAGTACATAACCCTGACGTAATGAGTGTTCTCTGCAGCAACTTCTTTGCAGCATTCACAAAGGCCACCAGCACAGAGAGGAGATGTGCGAGCTCAATTCGGACAAACAAGAACATGCTTCATTATACATCTGTTCCTGCAACCTGTCTCAAAACAAACTGATTCACACCCACAAATGAAGTTCAATGTGAAATAGTAAGACGTGAACATGTAAGCTTTAGGAGAACTACAACTGCCATCAACTTTGCCAGCAGCATCAAGTGATGCAGCTGAAGAAGCACCCTCCGGTGTGGCAGAACATCTCTGTGCACGCACATCTGTTGGCTGTACTCTTCGTGATGCCACAGACAGGTTGGACAGGATTTCCTGATCGTGCTCACCCCTAAACCATTCAAGTCAAACTATTTACCATTTCTTACTTGCTACAATTTATTGCTCCAGTTATTGCAGGGGAAAAAAAGAAGAAAAAAACAAAGGAAAAAAGGTATGGTTGCACTGTTTCTACTAGTTCCAACAAAAAGGACAGACGACACTGGGCTAACCCAAGATCAAATAGTTAGCTGGTGTGCTTGCATTTAATCCCTCCCACCACAAAGCCAAGGAAGCGAGCAATGGCCAGAGCTGTGCTCACTTCAGGGAGGTATCAGCAACCACTTCGTTAACTCCAGTAAACCCAACCAATTTCTATCATCTTAAGTTTGATAGAAAGAAAATGTAAAGAACACTTCTATTCCCACAAGAGGAAAAAAAAAAAGGAAGAACTTGTAGGAAAAGCTCTCCATTTTCTCTTCTTTTCTATTTGGTAATATTTTGACTGCACTTACAGCTCCTTAGTGCCTTTCTGGGGAAACTGGAAGCATGCAAGGAAGAAACTCTCAACATGTTCTTCTTTCTTACTCATTTTAATGCTCTCTAAATTCAAGAGGACAGACATTGTGAACAGCCCTTCACTTATTACTTCCTTTACAAAAAAAAATAAAATAAAATCATTATTCTCTTTCAGTATAACTCAACTACATTCTGAGTTATCATACAGAGAACAATTCTACAAGATAACTAACGCTCCCAGTGAAATTAACAGTATTCTGGTATTAGCAACTTTCCAGTGTCAGGCCATCATTCAAGATCTCTGAATCCGCCTAGTAGATTCTTCTATTCCAATTCATTTCAGTGCATTCCAAAATACCCATCAACATCCCCAGGAGCCACGCTCCATGTTGCCACCAGGAAGTGAAAAGAGAATTCACGTTAGCTTGAGCGTTTGTAGAAAGCACAGGAGAGGAAAGAAAAATATAAACTCGCATGGGAGAGAAAATAAGAACATCAGTTGGTAAAAACCTACAGAAAAAAAACCTGAAATATTTTAGAGCTGCGCGAAGGAGAACATACAGTATCTCTCCACAACTGAAAAAAAATAGGATCCTTTTCATTTTTCAGCCCTCGGAGTCGTGCTTACTTACAGGTCTGGCAGTGATTCTCTGTGGGTCCCCAGCATCGGCCTGTGCAGGACTTGTGGCATCGACCACCTTTAGGAGAGAAAGAAATGGGAAGAGATGAGAGATGTGGCTTCAGTTAAACAGAAGGGTCCATCTTGCCTTTGGAGGCTTTTTATGCTTTATGAAGGTTGAAACAGTGTCCTTAGGAAGCCCAAATAAATAACCAGAATTGGTGTCAGACCTGTCCGGGTACTTCATACTCTAAATCCCTTGGTCTGCTAAATATGATGGAGACATTTTAAAACCAAAAGAGCAGCATAAGATGAGGAACAATTTCATCACCCAGAGCCGTTCTCTGTGCACCCTAGATAAGACTCGCTCATTCCTCCATGGTACAAAGGATGACTGAGCAAATACCCATCTCATCTTGCGTTCAATTTCACCTGAACAATGAGGCAGTAAACTTTGAAGACAAGCGATCAAAAGCCAAACCTCCCTCCTGAAAGCTTGCACAGTCTTCACAAACATTACACAGTAAATCAGGACTGAAATCCTGCACTGAGGAGGCTGTTGAATTCAAGCCCTCCCTTTTACGGCTAGCTACTACCCGCTACGCAAAGAAACAGAAGGCAGGCAGAAGGACTGGCACGTTCTCCAGCTGTAGGTTTCATTACCTGAGTCGGCACTCGGACAGTCCCATGCCAGCTCCGATGGTGAGCAAAGGGACACCTCATCCTGCAGCTCCCATCTGGACCCGGCCAGGGAATGGACAACTCCTTCTGCCTCCTGAAGGGCAGGAGCTTTCCCACTGCTCTTCTGACTGCAGTAACCTGGCCTTACCTTTGATTAAACCTGGATTCATCACCGAATACTGCCAAAAATCTATGAAGTGAATTCCCACCTTGAACTCGATCCACAGGCTTACCAAAGCCTTCAGGAACCTTTTGCTGCTGTGCTAATGGCAGCTGCTCTATTACACCCTGCACAGTATCAAGTGCTTTCCACATACTCTGACTTGGGAGCCAACGCTGGAGAAAACACAGTGTCTCTCAGCTAAGGCTGGGTCAACCCAAAAGAAAACACCACTCCTCTGCTGGCAGCATACACACACAAGATGTTCCATAGTTGAGTAAAACCACTGTTAGAGCGGCATCAAGTTGGACTTCATGTTGTTGCTTTTCTAACACCAGTTCTTTTGCATATCACTGATGATCCATTGATTATGCTGTGCAGTAATTACACACTGTATGCCAACTACCTTGTTAAAGCTACCAGCTCCGAGCTGCACTTGTGTTCATTTAAAGCAATTATACCAGGGGAGCGTTGTTGCTGACATCACCAGCACATAATTTGCTGTCACATTCTGCCATCTGTTTATTTAGATCAGAAATATTCTATAACTACATAATGCAAACTCGTTCTGGCTGATGGGGAGGGGACTCCATCTGGCATGAATTATGCAACTTTAATCAGTAATAACAATTATTATGATTATTAAGAAACTACTGGAGCCCTGCGCAGTAAGCTAACACATCCATATTGATTTGTAAGAATAGAATAGGTAAGGTAAACAGCAAAACCAAGGAAGAACATTCAACAGGCAACTGGTAAGGTACAATTTGTTTCCTGGTTTTGGCACACACCTTGCTGGAAAAAAAAACAACCAACACATTTTATAAAGACTGACCAAAAGTACAAGCGGGCAGAAGGATGGATGCATGTTCAGATAACTTTTTTGCATCTGCCTTAGCTCAGTCCTTGCTGGAGCATCACTGATGGAGGAAGCAAAGGAGGAACTGAAACCCAAGGACAGGAGATTTATGCCTAATGCTTGCCTCTGGTCAGAGCTCACGTCAGTCTAGGGCTTTGGAGTTAAGGGGGAAAGGTCTTACAGCTGGACACAGCGTAAAGCAGGGAACAGCCTGCTCACAGCTCCCTGTCTGAGGCAGAAGAAGGAACCGGTTTGGCCATTTCTGCCCCTTTCCATTCCTGACTTCAGCCCCCTTCTGAATCCTGCCACAGGCACTGGGCTTTCCACCATTATATGGGCAGGGAGACAGCACAGAAAATACTTCCATCATCCCTCCAAGTGCCCTCTAGGTAGAGAGACCTTTTATACTACTGCACGAGCTACACTTAAAATAAAAACCTTCAGATTTGAAATTCCTCAGCGCTGAGCTGACCCTTGCTACGCAACTAAAAACATGCTCAGCCAATACTGCTACTCCTGGAAATAAAACTGATCCAGCATCTTCAAAAATCATTTAATTTTTTTCTTAACTTGCATGCCTGCTTCCTGATACATGACTTTGTTTGACAGTGTCAGATGATCATTTGCATTTAAATAGAGATATTTAACAAAATAGCAAGAAAAGGCTGCCAGTTTTCCGTTTTTTCATTGGGAACTCAAAGTCTCTGCTTCATTGTTTTCACCTTTCTCAACTGCACAGGCAAAAACTAGCAGCCACGCTGGTAGGCAGCACACTTCTGAATCACATTATTACATGTCCTTTGAAGGTCAAATAGACTGAGAATTAAAAACAAGAACCGAACTCCAAACAGCGTGTCTGTCTTGGTTTCTTGCTTTAAAAAGAAAGATAAGTTTGTTTGCTCTCAATATGAACTGGTCAAGATTCTGCCCTCCCATGACTCAGTATTCCACCTGGTTTGCCCACTGTAATAAGGACAGATTGCAACCCATTAAGGATCAGCTCTGTAAATCTTAACACAAAAACAGTCCCACGGAAGTCAAAATAAGCCCAGAGTGCAAGGAACGTTGATGGGAGAACAGCTCGTATGATCAGATCTGTATGTCAGCCTTAAACTATAATAAATCAATTGGCCAAGAGCTTGATGAAGTCCTACTACTGTGCTGCTGCCCACAGTTCTTTCCATACAGATTTCTTTTAGACTGCAGTGAGCCAACACAGATTTGAGAAAAACTTATCAAATCATTCTTGACATAAGACAGATTTTTTTTTATTCTTTGTGTCTCTAAAATACACCAAAACCTACCAACATACATCAGCAGTGTTTAAGAGAAATAAGTAATAATGAAAAAGCAAGCCACGACACTGCAGAAGTGTTCTTCCTTTTGCTCTGAGGCAACAGCCAATAAAAAGAGGGAACTCCTTCCTGTTACTACCAGCACTGGCCTCTGGCATCAAGATACCAAGAGCAAAATGAAGTCTAAATTGTAACCAGATGAACCTAGGAACACTCAGCACTAACAGAGCAGCCCAAACGAGCACAAGTCCACCTGCAACTATGCATTATGTATATTCTTCTTGTAATCAAAGAACGATTTAAGAATTAATTGAGATATGCCCAAAGAAATATTTCCAGTGGGCTCTATAAATGCAACCTTGTCGACCTGCTGAATTCCTGCACGTTAGTGAAGACACATCAGCCAAAGGGCTTATCTTCTTTGTAAGTGACATATGGAAAGGAAGAACCTGGAACAGCCTCCTGCCCCCCATGCAGAAGTGATGCTACAGTATATTTCTCCTCTGGAATAGTAGAACTGCTTTGAAAAGATGATGACATTTTATTCATTAGAAAGCAGAGGAGGAGGGAAGGAGTTAAAAGGAGGCTTACATAATTTTTACAGAATTTGCTATGAAATCCAAACTTAGAAAGGGCAGATTTCCACAGGAGGATGAGAATTAGTTTTGCTCTGTCAAACTCCATGTGGAAAACCAATGCCTTGTCTCCTGGGCTCATCTCCCTAGGCCAATACACTTATCTTCATGAAGGAGCCTGGTGCAGAGTACTGCTATCATAACGTCCACGGTAGGTTTTTCTTTATGGAAGAAGATGCCTCTGCTCTGCTGAATGGAGAAAGTCACAGGCAGGAAGAGCTTGCTCGCTAGGCTGGGAAAGACCAAGGTTACTTTATCCTTGTGCTTTCCTGAGAATTGAGAAGGGCTTTCCTTTGTCTCCAGACTGACTTTATTATTTCAGGAACAGTAAAACCGCAGAGGATTAAGTTAGTGACAAGACAAGAAAAATGAAGTCTTCCTCTTAGCTCTAAGCTCACTGTAGTATGGAGAATGCTGCTTCTTCCCCATCAGCTATCCCAGCTGCCATAAGCAGACCCCTCTCAGCAGGGGAAGGAAAGCAGAAATAAGAGAAGAAACGTCTCCCTTTGTCCAAAGCCTGCATTTGTGGATAGTTTCTACCAGGTTAATAAATCATTAATAAACACTAGCCCATCTGCAGCATACCAATACTGAAGTGCAAATAAACACAGCCAAAAACAGTGGCTTTGATGGTTACAAGGCATGGGTATAAGGAAGCTCTTTGCTTGTCTAACAGTCTAAAATAATTGATTAACTATCAAAAAATCCATAAATCATTTATTAGTTTCTTCGTTTAAACTCATCCTCAACCTAAGAAACTTCTCTCCTGCAATAATGCCAGCAATGCCAAAAGGATGCTCAAGACTTAACTTTATGGTCCAGGAAAATAAAACGCAATCAAAATATAATTCAAACACCACAGCACAGCATTAGTGGGAATTAAAGCCACCATTGTTATGATGGATTGTTCTGCCTTTATCAGGCTGGAATGCCTTCGGTGTCCTTGTCTGGCAATTCCTATCATCACACGCTCATTCATTCACACTTCTCTGTTAAGTTAAAATTCTGCCTTTTCTACCAGCCCTGTGCCAGCCATCAGAGGCCCTCACACTTTTCAGGATTTCCTTCTTTTACAGCAGAAGAGATTTTCCCTGCAAGAGAAAGTATAACCTCCTGTAAGAGAATGGAGCATTGACAGGAACACTAGCGCTCATTTTCTCCTCCTCTCCATTTAAGTGAATAGGACATAGAAATCTAAGGGCCCAATCCTGTACTGCCACTGAACTGCGATGCTTTAGCCGATTTCAGATCAGCTAACCTCAGGATGCTGCCACCAAACAGTTTTCCAACACGGGATAATAAAATACAGTCAAATCCAGGCTTTTCTCTAACAAGCTGTACGTGGCACTGGAATTATCACTGCTGCTGTGGAAAATAGCTGAGGTGAAAGCAGACTTCTGCTAACGACTGTTTCCAATAAGGACTTCCAAGTCTGCCATCCAGCCTCGT